GGCTTCTCCACTGGATTTCCCAGAGGAGCAGCAGCTGCCTCTTGCACTGGATCTTCAGAGGAAGACTGCACCTTTCTAAAGGATCCTGCTGCAGCAGAACCACCCGTGACACTCCAGGAGGGCTGCAGCCACAATTCCAATGGGACTGCTGCCAGCACCCTGACCCACAGGGTGTCAGGCTGTGTTCTGACTCTGTCAGTGTTGTTTTAGTTTACTGCATTGTTGATTTTATCCCTTAATTTTCTTCCCTAATAAACAAGTGTTATTCCTGCTCCCATATTTTTTCCTGAGAGCCCCTGAATTTCAAATTTATAGCAGTTTGGAGGGAGGGGATTTACATTTTCCATTTCAGTGGAGGCTTCTGCCTTCCTTAGCAGGCACTTGTCTTTCCAAACCAAGACAAAAGAACAGATGTTTAAGCTGTGGGTCCAGTCTGCATAGAGAAAACTCAATTTTACATAGAGAAAACTCCAGTTTTACTGTGAAGCTTTTACAATCCAACCAAAGTTTATGTTTCACTTAGTGTATCTAAATCATTAAAAAAAAAAAAAAAACAACAGGTAATAGCATTTTAAAAATGGAAAAATTAGTCTTGTTCTTCCCCCACAGAAATGCACACATAGCTCTACCTGTGATGTTTGGTACTTGCATTAAGTATTAGCACCCTTTGGCACCCCCACTGTGCAAGCACATTGAAAATGATGGAGTAAAAGTGTGGGGCTTGTAAATAAGTAATGCTTGTGCATCCTTAGCAATAAAAATTGTGCTGATGGAACGAGTCATTGACATTCCTGAGCTTGCAACAGGAGGTGCAGGGACAGAGCTGGGTGTTTTTGCCTTTGAGGTGCTCACAAGTGTTCCTCCCTCAGGTAGTGGTGGGTTTGTTGAAGTAAATACCAACAATAGTTTTAAATCTCAGTGAATGGTGGTGCTGGATTATAGATAAGACCTTTCACCCTGCAAAATTCCTAATTGCTGTTCTAAACCCCCATAATTCCTTAAACCTGCAAGTGCAACTATATAGACAGAAAATTGTTTTAAGGAGGAAAGTTAGGAGACTTAAAGGTTAAGGGAACAGAGAAGTGCTGTGAGTTCCCTACTGTCCACAGGAACATCTGTGCAATCCTTCACGAAAGGCTGGCTTTGTGGTGTCAGAAATTGAGAGAGCTTTTCTCTTTTGTGGCAGGGCAGCTCGCAGAGTTTTTTATTCTTGTCTGCAATTCTCACTTCAGAAGGAAAGATAACAACACTCCTTACTGTGCCTCATCTATTTGCAGAACCAGCTCTGCAGAGTGCAGGAGGTCTCTTTTAGGACCAGGTCTGTACTGCAAAGTTGTGCTGGTGTCACTGCTCCACAGATGGGGTTGTGAAAAATCAATCCTCCCTCACAGAAATCATCTTGTCAAAGTTCTTTCTGGCAAGGATGTTAACCCCTGGTCTTTCCATCCTAGTTCTGCTGTGAAAATGAATGGTCATTTACAAACCATTAGCATTCTTTCAAATCAAAATATAATCACATCTTGCTACTTCCAAAGCCCTTCCCTCCCAGAAAATCTCATTAATTATCACAGACAGGTGTTTTTCAACAAAAGCTCCTAGCATTCTCTCTTCTTCTCCAGCCTCCTGCTTGAGCTAATGAAGCTTCAGTGATGTCTGTGGAACAATGGAGCAATTTCTGTAACTGCAGGTTGGAGAGAAAAAATAAGGGATGGTAATTGAGGAGGGGCTGGAGGAGAGGCTGTGGAGCAAAGTTCCTCTGCCTGTGTAAAGAGATCTCTCATTACTGGTGATTAGGGAGGAAGCATTTAGAGAGGCAGAAAGAAAGTAGCTGTGCTAAAATAAAAAATGTTTTTTTGATAGTTTATTGATATGCAGATGCTGCTGTAGGAAAAGACCACAGACCTCGTTAGGGCAGCCTTTATATCCTCGAGCTAATGGAGTGGAGATTTGTACCAAGAGAGGGGAACTGGCATCACCTCCACTCTGCTCCCGTGGGAAGTCACTTATCCAAAAAAGCTCCCTGGCATGACTTGCAGCTGTGTGAATGCTGTTTACCAACACTCCCTGCATAAATTGGATGCTTCTCTCTGGAATTAGCCAGGTTTCTATTCTCTGTGGAGATGTGCTGTGAAAATGAAGCCCGTGTGCTTCCCCAAATATTTGAATCATATTCATAATTACAGCAACTCTTCCTTCATGGCTGTTGTAAACAGGTCCTGCCTGCTTAGCTTATGACTAGACAATAGGAAAGAGGCAATTTTTAGCCTCTAAAAATAAATGATACACAGGTGTTTTGCTGGGCTGGATGACAAGGACCCCTGCCTTATCCAGTGGTTCTGCATTTTCATAATTCATATTGGATTATGCCTAGAAGCTCCCCAGTCGCTGCCTCTTCCAAATGCATATAGACATTTATATTCTGAACACTGAAAATCAGCAGAATTCAAATGCTCTTTTAAGCATATTTGAATTAGTCATCAGCTACTCTGAAACTTCAGAGCATCTCCCAACATTTTCAGTATGAAAACCAGGCTCAGGTGTGACCCCATGTCCAAGCATAAATAGTTATTTTTCCTTTTTATCTGGCAAAGCAAGAGCTCTTATTTCAGGAAGGAATACAAGTATCTTCCCTGCAATATCCAACAATGAATAAAATTACTTTCAGCCAAGTGTAGATAATTCTGCTCACATGGAGGTCAGAGACCATGAAAATACTGTGCAAAAGGCTCATAAGGAAATGTATTCTTTTCTTCCCTCTGGGAAAGGAAGGGGTCACACCAGGCACCTTTTTTAATCAGAATGAATGATCTAGTAGTTCCAGCTCTCCTGTTGAGCAACTGAAGAGAACTACAGCTGGAACTGGTGCCTTGGGCACATTATGGCTTTGTTATTTTTAAGTAAACCAGTAAGGTTTGTGAGTTATGGGAAGAGTTATTGCTGATGTAACCTCTCCAGATCCCAGCTGAAGGTAACATGCTCTGGAGAAGACCAGAAGCTGGAGAGAATTGGGTGATGTGCACTCACCACACCTTCACCACACCCTCAGGAACCTGCTCACCAGAGGTAAGAGAAACTCAGCTGTTTCAGGAGCTGGTTTTTCTGTGACATGTATATCTGCTTCCTCAGGTAAACCCATGGATGTTTTGCTTCCAGTTGGATTTTATCGTTTCTGACAACACCTTTTTCACCATAAAATATTCAGCAAGCTTCTTGTAAAAATACTTTATTGAAGTTTTCAGAAGGGAGCAGACACAGGGAAAGGTATGAGCAGGCTCAACATTTATCCTGTCAATGCACAGCACATGTACTTCAAGGGGTGAGTTTTAACCCATATATAACAGACTGACAGAACTTGTCACAAGTCTGAAATATCACATACACCAGACAAGACATCATTTAAAACCTGACTTCAGGTGACAATACTGATCTACTTGACAAATATCACTGAGATACAGTCGGATGGCATTTTCTTTTCACTTTTAGCAGCAGCCAAAAGCAGTTTGCTTGCAGCAGCAAAATGTAATTGGCAATCACAACATCATAAGCTTTTGGGGTACTGCTTTACAACATTTGGGTTTCTATTTGTAAATGTAGTTTTCAGACTTAGGATCTTGAGTTCCCCTGTGCAATACTGTTAAATACGAGCATTTGCCATGGCAACTAATTACTGATTTGTGTTACTACATCACTGAGCAGTGCCAGCAGTGGAATTCATCTGCTTTTTGGTCATACTGCCTCTGTGCCCAAAGAGGTTGCAGAACAAATGGGCAACTGTGATGAGCACGAGATGGGAGGCAGAGTAAAATGACCAGGATTTTATGGTAGGACCAAAGCTAGAGCCCTGGTCTCTTGAATCTTGTGCTCTATCTGTGTAATTAGTTGACAGCTCTAAAAAAAAAATGTTTAATTAGACAGTAAAAGAATTGATGCTTGTGTTGACTGAATCAACCCAAGCCAGGTCTCCAATGAAGTGAGGTATTTTAAAAGAAAGAATGCAAGAGTTCTTGAAAAATTGAAGAGGTCTGAAAGGAACATTTTAAAAAGGAACATAAAAAAAAAAACAAACCACAAGATTTGCTTCTATCTGAGCTTGTCATTCCCTAACACAGTGCCAGAAGAGTATCTTTAAGATCCTGCAGAAGATGTTTGAAATGTTTGAAGATGTCTTTGGGCTGTCAGGATGGAGTCTGTGGAGAGCTGTGCTGGCACCTTTCACATGGGCACAGAATCCTTTTCCAGGGCCCTTCCAGGGCTGCTTCCTGCTGCATGGCTCTGGCCAGGAGGGAAGCACTCGCACGGGAGCACTGGCAGAGGAAATCAGAGCAGTTTTGAAGCAGGGAGGGATCAAGCAATGCCAACAGCACGATGCTCAGTGCCTCAGAGACTGTCTGTAAACTCCTTAGGGCAGAGATCTGTCCCTTCCTGGGGTGTGGAAGGGACATCTATTGCACCCCATGAAACAGGGACCCAGATTATGGCTGCAGCTTCTGTAACAAAAATGATAAATTAGATGTTTTCCTTCTGAGATTTGTTCTTTTCTTTCTGTATCATCATCTAAGTGTAATAGGTGTGAGGAAAAACTCTCCCATTTATGAGGAAGATCAGGTCTGCCAACAGCTAAGCTGTAGTTTAGCACAGTAGTTTAAGCCAGATATTTATTTTTATTAGCTTTTTCTTTCCAGTTTTCAGTTTATTGGAGCAAAATGCTGGTGCTGCTCAGGCTGACTAGGTGGCAGCAGAGCTCTTTTGTGGCACCTGCAAGTGGCGGGCACAGATTTCACTACCCGTGGTTATGTCAATAAACCCCTTTATCCTTCTCTGCGGTGGGATCTTGATGTTGATGAACTAAAATAAGTTAATAGTGGGCTCTCTTCTGCCTTCCTCACCTCCTCCACGCCACTGCTCCTGGGTTCTTCCAAGGAAACAAGCTCCAGTCCCACACCCGTACAGCAGAAGTAAACCAAGGCTTTTCTCATCCTCACACTGGACTGGCTTCACCTTCAGTAGTTCTGAAGGGCATAGTGAGGCTGAATCTTCAGCTTCTTGGGGCAAAGGAGTTTAATAAAAGCCCTTCTGAAGCTGGAGTGGCAGAGAGGGTATAGGACAGGGTTGACAGCTGAGTTGATCCAGAGCAGCCAAAAAGAAGTCTCATACCAGAACTCAGAGATGCACTGGCCGTGGCAGCCAGCGCGGATGATCATCAGGAGAGTGTATGGTGCCCAGCAAATCCCAAAAATGCCCACAATGATTGCCAGTGACTTGGCCACTTTCTTGTCCCTGGAGAGCCTGAAGCGTTGGGTCGTGCTCTGGGACACGATCTTCACCCGTTTGTCTGAGGACAGAGTGGAGGCTGAGTTTTTGCAGCTCTTTTTGTTGCAACACTTGGGTTTCCTGGAGCTCTCCGTTTCCAGCAGGTCTTTGGCATCCAGGCTGGAAGTGGAGGCTGCTGCTTGAGCTTTGATCTTAGAGAGGTCGAGGGTTTCAGCTGACTCCTTCTGCTCCCACTTACAGCATTTCAAAGAAAGCTTTGCTTCTGGGCTCCTTTCCACCTCTTCAGTGAAGGACTGGTTGTGCACTTCGTGGAAAACGTCCAGGCGCATTTTGGTGCGCTTCTGGATGTTCAGGTAAATGCTCAGGTTGAAAAACATCACGCTGATGAAAGGGGTGAAAAACTCCAGCGTGGAGGCTGTCATGAGGAAATACCAGTTGTAGAAGAACTCGGCATAGCATTCCCCACTGGGGATGATGCTCTGGCCTGATATGTACTCCCAGCTGATAATGGCAGGTCCGTAGAGCAGGAATGCCAACACCCACACCATCACCATCTTCAGCACTGCTTGCCTGGTGTTGCCTTGCTGGGCTCTGTAGGCGACCTGCAAGAGGAAAGCCTTTTCTTACACACAGTCCCACACCCCAGCTGGCTGAGGCTCCTCACAAATGGACTATTAGCATTCCTGGTAAAGTTGCTAGGCAATACCCCAGCAGTCCAACAAATTGATATGCCATAGGCAACAGGAGCAACTGCTAGATAAATCACACTCTTACAGGGAAGATTTAGAACACTCATTTTACAGCTCCAAAATATGGTGTCTGCTAAGTGGAAATGTACTGATTTGGCTGGAGCCTGGCAGCTGTCTGCACCCACCACTTACCTGAGCTGTCCTCAGCTACTCCCTCTAAGTCCCAGGGAGAGGGACTTGACAAACTCCTGGGCTAAACCCGTGCTGTATTTGTAGTCAGGAAATGAGCAGTGGGTCAGATCTGCCTGTGAGCTGCTCGTTACCTCCTGCAAAAGGCTGAGCATTTTGATCTCCCACACTCTCAGAGATCTCTCCACATTCCCTGCCAAAGCTGGCAGTGCAATCTACTGCCATGAAACTGAGAGTCTGACTGCAATCCACTTGTTTGTCCTGGGGATAATAAGCTGTTGCTAGTTTAAAGTCTGCTACCCTGGCTGGCTTGCTTGTACACCACCATCCTGTCACCTGGGAAGGGAACACCTGCACAACGGGGACTGAGCCTTAAGTGATTTAATTATGCCAGGAATACTAATCTGAAACCACAGCTGAATTATGCATTTGTGGATGATTATTGCCTTCCAGGCTGAAAGATTCGTAATTTCTGGAGGATTGAAAGAACTTTTAAGGATTGCAGACAATCTGGAGAATAAAGCAGGAGGAGAGTTATGTCCCTCTCAGCTGCCATGACAGGACTCACCGCTCTTGTCACCGACAGGAACCTGTCGTAGCTAATCAGCACGATGTTGAAGACCGAAGAGGTGCACAGCAAGTAATCAACCACCAGCCAGAGTTTGCAGAGGCTTCTCCCGAAGATCCATCTCCCCGTCAGCACATAGGGCACGTAGAGGGGGATGCAGAAGGCACCTGCAAGCGGAGGGTCCGTTCCGGGGGAGAGCCGGGCTCTGCCCCGGGGGGACCGCGGGGACCGGCTGGGTCGGGCCGGGGGGAACGGGAGGGGACCGGGGATTGCGGGAGGGTGTCGGGGCAGGACGGGGAGCAGCCGGGCCGGCGGAGCCCCGGGCGCGCTGCCCGCCCCGCCGCCGAGCTGCTGCCGTGCCGTGCCGTGCCGTGCCGGCAGCACTTTACCTACGAGGAAATCCGAGATGGCCAGGTTGAGGAGGAAGAAGTTGTTCTGGGTGCGCAGGCTGGAGTCTGCCACGAAGGCCAGCATCACCAGCGCGTTGCCCGCCACGGTGACGGCGATGAGCAGGGCCATCAGCGCGCCCAGCGCCGCCGTGCCCGCGGCCGCGAAGCGCCCGGCGGCGGCGGCGGAGCCGTTCAGCGCCCCGCCGCTCTCCATGCCCGCC